CCTGTGGACTCAGGCTTTTGGGATGGCCAAGAGCCCACAGGTCCTGAGCAGCAAGTAGGACCTGGCTCACAGGCTGAATCAAAACGCCATTCTCGTGACAGCCAGTGCTATGCTTAGAACCAGAGATGATCCGATACAGTCACATTTTGTATTTAAAAGGGGAAAAAATGAAAAGTCAAGAGGATTAAATATCACATACGGCACAGAGATTGTCTGGAAAGACCAGCTTAGCTTCACTCTGAGCACTTAAGCTGATATTAGCAAATACAAACCCTAAACAATGTTACAAATGGAAAACCTAAATGAAAGCCAGCAGGATTAAATCAATTTAAAGAAGCTGATCAGAAATAAGACAAATGTTCTTAAACTTACTGAAGCCACATCCACATGAAGACAGTAAAATGTTCCCTGGCAAGTTAACTGGCAAGAGCGTAAGGCAAACAACAAAGACACCAGAATTTGGCCCCTTGCTCCTCTACTCTAAGGAATGACATCTGCACTTACATATATACCTTTCTTCAGGGGCACCAGGAGCAGGAATTTAACACTAGAAAATGTTTGACCGATAGCCAGTCAAATTCAGAGTGAGTATTCAATGAAAAACAGCTGATAGGAAAGTGGAGAAACTCGGCATCCGCTTTGGCTGAGGAGGAGCTTTGATGGATCCCCAGGCCAGACAATCTCTTTTGCAAATGCGTGAAAAGGTCTGTCCTACCAACACAGACGTGCAAGTGAGTACTAAGACCGAGGAGATGACATTTCTAGTCAAAGTAAATCAGATGAGAAACTCAAACTTTTCACTGCAGCATGTCATCTGTGGCTTAGGCTCACCTTTGCTACCTCTAGTTTTCACCAGAAGACTAGAAGCAGCAAATACGCTGGCTTTTAAAGAGGTTGTCAGAGGTAAAGAGACTGCAGACAAGTAGATCTGCTATGCAGTGTGGGCAGATGCTCACAAAAGCTGTAATAAATGGCATACCTGGTTGATGTATGGACAAATTATGTCACAGGGGAGACCGAATCCAACTTTTGCACAGGAAGATCATACCTCAGAAATACAGTTTCTGGAGGAGTCAAATAGATGTGGGTGTTGGACACACCCTGGTCAGTTGGGAAGGGTCTTTATCAAAACTCACAGGGGACAAGCTGCCATAGGCTAGGGAGGAAGATCCTCACTTGGATAAATCGTAGAATCACAGAACCATTTAGGTTGGAAAAGACCTTTAAGATCATTGAGTCCAACCGTAAACCTAGCATGGCCAAGCCCACCACTACACCATGTCCCTAAGTACCACACCTACACATCTTTTAAATACCTCCAGGGATGGTGACTCTACCACTTCCCTGGGCAGCCTGTTCCAATGTTTGACAACACTTTTGACGAGGAAATTCTTCCTAATCCCCAGTCTAAATCTCCCCTGGTGCAACTTCAGGCTGTTTCCTCTTGTCCTGTCACGAGTTGCCTGGGAGAAGAGACCGACCCCCACCTGGCTACACCCTCCTGTCAGGTCGTTGTAGAGAGCCATCAGGTCTCCCCTCAGCCTCCTCTTCTCCAGACTAAACACTCCCAGCTCCCTCAGCCGCTCCCCATCAGACTTGTGCTCCAGACCCTTCACCACCTTCGTTGCCCTTCTCTGGACTCGCTCCAGCACCTCAAGGTCTGTCTTGTGGTGAGGGGCCCAGAACTGGACACAGCACTCGAGGTGCGGCCTCACCAGTGCTGAGTACAGGGGGAGAATGAGTGGCTGAGAAAGAGAAAAAGGGAGGAAGAGCACCTGGGGACCTCACTGTGCTGAGAGACATCTTGTACAGCATCTCGTCCAGATGCAGCAGGTGCCAAAGGTGGCAACATGAGGAGAAGTTTGGAGAAGATCAGGGAAAAAGGACAAGGCACCATGTCAATCTAAGCTGCACCCGCACCTTCTCAGCTGGGTGGAGGTCCAGATCTGGTCACCCAGCCCCATCAGGGACATGGTCTAAGCAGGGGAGGGAGAGAGAAGGATGAGAGCCACAGAGAGCAAGGGGATTTGTTAAAGGTTTAAGATCTGGAACAGCATGAAGAGGACGAATAGAGAAGACAGTCTGACATCACCAGCAAGCACCATCAGCTATGAGTCTCCAGATTGCTCCTCACACACCAAAGGCTGGTCCAGCACCTCCCTTGCCCCAACACCCCTCTGCTCTCCCCAGCAGGCGGTTGGGACCCAGGTGCCTGTGCTGATCTCCACTGCACCAACCCGGTCCTTGCCAGCCCATCTCACCAGTGTGCTCCCACAGCACTCGGCTGAGGACCTGCAGGTGAAACCACTGCAACAAGCAAAAGGGAATGCAGAGATCGGCAGTGAAGCTTCTTGCTGCAGGGTGCCATAAATGTCAAGAAGGTGCCTCACCCCCGGAAGTGCTTTGAAACATTCAGGGAAGAAAAGTCCCAAGTAATTAAATATACAATGACATCTGGCCAGGTTTGCTGGGGGAATATAGGTGGGGCAGGTACAACCCTCTTTTTACCCTGCGCCTGGGTGCTTCTCCTTAGCCCTGTACCTGCCTGTTGTTGAAGGCAGGGTGCTGGGAGAAGGGGCTGCACGGTCCGATGAGCATTGGATGAGCAGCAGGTACAGGGGCAGGCTTGATGGGAGGGCTGAAGGATCCTGGGGGGCTGCAGTGGGGACCCCCTGCCTGCTCTGCATAGAAGGGACTCGCAACCAGAAAAGATCTGAAATTGCAGCCTGTCTACATCCTGCTCCAGGGCATGGGGAGAAAATAAATGAACAAAAGGAGGAGTGGAAAGTGCCGGTGGCAAAGAGAAACAATCTCACCGCTGTCTTGACAGGGTGGTGCCTGCACATGGCATGAATGAAATATTTGGTTGGGACATGATGTGAAGACACCAGGACTCCCCGTCATACAAAGTCCTTGGCGAAGGGTGTTGCTGGCAGTGAGATGTTTTCATCTGCATCAATGTATGTGCCAAAAACAAGCCTCGAGGCAAAGCTGCATGTGAGCCCCATGCTCTTGGGACCACAGGAAATTCTGAACTGTTCCAGTCCAAACTGCCATGGAGAATTCCTTCTGGAAACACTGGGCTGCTTCAAAACAGGTTGGCGATGACGCTGGGTTGGGAAGTCCCAGTGAAGTCCCTTGTCCTGCTGCGATTGGGATGCGTCCAGCTCTTTTGATCCTCAAGATCAGGAGAGGCAGTTTCTGAAATGTATTTTCTCGGACCATAGGAGGAGGAAGGAGCACCTGGAAACATCCTGAGGTGCTCAGCTGCTGGGATGACACCTTCCAGGGGTACCTGCTACCGTCACGCAGCAGCAAGGCAGATCTTGTGCTGAAACCAACACCCAGGTGGCCAACTAAGCTGGCCAGGGACAGTCTGGATGGAAAGGCCAGCAGAGAGGATTTTTGGAGAAACTTCCTTTTCCAAGAGAGGCACAGCTGCTTCATACCCTACCAGACCTCAGTGCCTGCGAGCACTGCCCAAGCCCCGGAGATGAGCATACATGAGGTGGCAGGACTTTGCTGGGGACACAGGTTACTCTGGGTGGGTTGGGGTTTCTCCCAGGTGGATTTGAGGAGCTGAACAGAGCAGGAAGGAAAGGATGGAGTGGGATTTCGGAAATTTAAATTCAAAGGTAGACAGTCTCTGGAGGCAGATGTCCACCACCAGATCGTCTGACTCCAGCTTCTCCACGGTGCCCAGGGGCAGAGGCCACACCACAGCACCAGCTCTCCAGGTTTGGGCCTGGAGGATTCAGACACCCACCTTCCACCAGCCCTGCAGCACCGTGGGGCTCCGAGGTTCCAAAGCTGAGTCTTACCCCTGTCCTGTCCCAGACTGAGCTGGTGGACGAGCAGGGCTCCTGGGGAGCAGAGGGCTGCAATCGCAGCAGGGCAAGTAGAGGGAAGGCGAGTTGGATGGTGGTGGTGGTGGTGGTTGCAGCCCTCCAAACTCCAGCCTCGATCTCTGTGGCTAAGTCCCACGGCCTTTCTCCACCCAGCCCCTGTGCCCACGGGATTTCCAGCTCACTGCACCCTTTGCCTCACCTCCGCCTGGCCATGGTCCTACCCTGTGGGAGACATCCAGGAGGGAGTATCCTGATGGGCTCCAAAACTGCCCTCACTTTGGTGAGCTCAGCCCAGGATCGCCCCTGGCTGCTCACCATCCACAGACCCCAGGAGGACAACAGAAGAGACCACAGGCCTGAGCACCCCAGGTTCTCCCCAAACACTACACCAAGCTCCGGCATGAGTTTCTGTTTATTTGGCAAAAAGAAAGGACTATGTGCTGGAGAAGCAGGGGATGTGTCAGAGCCTTGACCACTGAGCTTGGAAGAGGGATGGTGGAGCAGCAGGCTGGAGCTTCAAAGCATGGTTGGCATCAGTTGGCAGGAGCATCCACTAGCCAGCCCGGACCTCCTAGAAAACAGCCGGGAGAGGTGGGCTGAGTATTTGAAGTGAGGAGGCCAATGAAGAGGGCCAAGCAGGGGTCTCCATCAGAATCAGTGCATTCTGTTCCAGCTCTCCCCACCTCTGTAGGGTTAGCCGTCTCCAGCAACGGATTTCTAGCTAACCCCTACAACTGAATGTGTATCGATGTGGTGGGAAATCACGTGCCAGGGTGAGCCACCAACAAACATGTTTTGTGTGGTGACACACCAACCCAACCTCTGGCTGGTTTTGCCAGTCCACAACCCCCAGGTCCCTTTGGCAAGAGCTGGTGTCCCAGCCCTCACTGCTGGACGAGCTCTGCACCTCTTTCTCCACTGAATGGGTGGGTTTTGTTCCAGTGCCCTTCCTCTCTGCTGGGCAGCTGCACCCTAGGGGTCCCCGCTGCAGAGCAGCTCCAAAGAGAATGGTCCTACCTGGGTGCAAGCTCCAGCACAACTTAGCCCTCAGAGTAATCCGCAGAGTTCATGGTGGCCCTTGCTGGGGCACCAAGTGAGGGCAATTTCCAGCTGAGGACATTGCAAACACCATGTTGTACTGCAGTAACTCACCTACGCTTCATCGAGGCTGCATTCCTCTGTGAAAATAAAGAGAAAGGCTGAGTCCAGGGCTGTGGTCTTGTTAGTCCCGTTTAGCACCCAAAATAGACAACCCAGGAATGAACTTGAGCAAGGCAAAAGGCACGACGTGCCAAGCCAGAGTGCCTCTTGCTACCAGCACTTTCTCCTTCCAGCTCAGACCACAAAGTGATGGGCCAAGCTGGTCCCTGCCAGTGTGTCTTGACTCCCCGTACTGACCGAGCCAGCCAGACACGAGGCTGGGCAGTGCTCACCCTGGCTGGGCAGCATCACGATCATCTCATCAGTGAAGCTCTTCGCCCTTGCAAACTTCTTGAACAGTGCTGTGATTTTGGGGCTCACCTTCCGAGTTCTGCCTAAAGGCAAAGACACAAGTTATCTCCAGGTTGTGGTCTGTCCCTGCATCTCCTGGGCAGCTGGCAAGTGTGCCCAGGTGAGGACGGGATGGATGATGATCCCTGGGTGAAGGCCAGAGGCAGTGGTGGAGGTCCCGGAGGGCGGTGGTGGCCAGGCACAGGAGACACCCCTCCCAGGGGACAAGACAAAGCGGAGGTCCTGGCACCAGCACAGGTTTTCCTCTCTTGGTTCTCATCCCCACCATTTCTGCCCCCCTTGCAGCAAGACCCACGCTTTTCACCCCATTTCACCAAACGACTTACCCAAGGCCATGGACTCCCAGCCCAGTGCAGAAGCCTGAGCCCCAGCCTCCCCTGCCAGCCCCAAATCATGGCCCCTTCCCCTGCTGCTCAGCATCCCCAGCCCCGCTCCTGCACCCCACCCAAGGCAGGAAGGCAGTGGTGAGGAGGGGGTCTCTCCCATGGGACCCCTGACTCCTGGCCTCTCAGGACACTATGCAGCACCCTGATACCCACAGCTCTTCACCCCAGTCCCACACTTCTCCCCCCCAGTCAGCCCGCCACTGGCTACGCACTGTAGAGCCTCAGCATACGCAAGGTCTTCCCATCCTTCACTCTGGAGACAAAGATAACTGCGTACGTCTTGCCGTCAGTGTCCATCACCTGCACTGTTCTGTTGTCTCCATCTGCAAAAGGAGAAAAGCAAAAAATTAATTACCTCTTCCTGAGAATTCCCACACTGCAAAAGGGCTGTAAGCGTGTGAATCAGGATGCCAGGGCCAGGCGCACTGAGCCTGTCTGTCTTCTGTGCCTCTCCCTCCTGGTTTTCCCTCTTGCTAAGGCTCCTCTGAAAGCCTGGGGGAGCCCACAGATCACAGCAGAGCAGAGGGATGAGAACACAGGAGGCTCTGGGCATGGTCATTGCAGACAGCGGAGTAGCCCGGCCACTGTCAGACTAACGCTTGGGCTGGGGACGGTGGGAAACAACTCTTGCTTCATCCCTCTTGGGAACATCCATCCACAGCCCCTTTGCAGAATGAATCTGCTTTTCCCCAGGGCTTAAGCTTGGTCTGAATGTGTCTTATCCCAGAGGGAGGGAGTAGGGGAGTTGGGCTGCCACGCTGGTGGGATGCCAGCCCTGGCATGGACCAGCCCTGGGGTGCAGGTGGCAACCAGATGCAGAGGGCTGTCCCACTCAGGACCTCAGGAGAGACAGGCAGGCTCCCCTGAGGGTCAGGTATGCCAGGACAACCAGTTGCTTCAGGCAGGGATGCTGGCAAGTGCCTCCATCCTGGACCGGGGTCAAGCTGCCCCCACTCACCAGAGCTGTAGTATTCACCCGGGATGCCTGTTTCCTTGTAGGTCCGCTCCAATTTCTTACATCCCTCCGGGCTGCAAAACAGTGACAGGGTGCGGTGAAGGGACCCCCTGTTCCACTCCCCTGGGGATGCCAGCTCTGGGGTCACTACCCCAAATGTGGGACTTGCTGTTCAGGGATAGGATGCTGTGGCCAGGGCAAGGAGGGACAGATGCCATCCTTGGAGCAATGGGTGCCAGGGCTGGCAGGGCACAGAGCTGGCATCTCGAGGATCATTCCATGGGCGGGTCACACAGCCATTGCCTTGCTCATGCTCTGAGCTGCTGGGATGAGGCTGGTCCTCTTGGGAAAGCTTTAATCATAGGGTCCTTTATCACCCGCCTGCGTCCCTGCCAGGAGCAGTAGAGTTTGCCTGGCCTGCCCTGAAGAAGGGGTCCCCATGATTCAGCTCTCCTGAGCTCCTGTTTTAAACCACGGGGCTGGTGGTCCTGCCTCACCCCCTGCCCAGGTCTTTAGTGCTCTCCAGCCAGGTGGAGACCCACCAGTGAAGGTCCAGGGAGGAGTTAGAGAGTGAAGCCTGTGGAGAAAAGCACTTGGCACTTACGTGGGAATTGCAAAGGAGGCCTTCAGGTCACCCCCTCCCAGGACCTTGATGGTGGCCATCGCCATCTTCAGCTCGTCCTTCTTTCGGAGGTAGCCCTCAGAGTCAGAAGCCAGAGCAATGATGTGCCATTTCCCTTCAATCTGACAGTGAGGGCAGGCCGTGAGTCTAGAGGAGCAGGCAGAGGCTGTCCACTCCTTAGGGACTCAGCCAGGACACCCTCAAGCCATGAGACCCCTATGTCCCCTCTGGGCACCCAAACCCCTGCTGGGGCACCTACGCTGGAGCTGGGTCACTGCCCTCATGTGGGTGTGACAGCGGAACCAGCGGTGGCTGTGGTGTCACCAGCTGTCCTCAGTCCCAAAACACCTCTTCAGTCCCCATCCCAGTGACCAGAGGTCACGCTCCCACCTTCCCTGGGATGCTGCGGATCACCTTGCTCTTGTCCAGCCCCACAGCCCCAAGGTCCTCAGCCTCCGCACACAGCAAGCAGAGCAGCGCCAGCCCCAGGCTCAGCCCCACGGTCCTCATCTTGCCGCAGCCTCCTCCGGCTTCACCAGCGGGATGGAAAGTGGTGCCGGGGCTGCTGGCTTTATAGCACCATCCTCTCCCCTCCCTTTGCCCAACCCGGCGCTGCTGCGTGCCGAATTGCACGGGTAACGCTGGTGGTGTTGCCTTGGGCAAGGTGGTGGTTTCAAAGGGCTGAAGTAACCCCAAGGTAACCAGTAAACAGTGTCCTGTCTTGCGGAAGAAGGGAAGTGCCTGCAAGCCCCAGGAAGGGGCTGAGAAGCGAGGTTGCAAGAGCTGTTGCACCCAGTGCTGAAATTTAGGATTTTCCCGTTTTCTTGAGTCATTTGTGAAAGAACAAAGAGAGCTTTTGTTTCCCAGCTGGCTGCCGGGAGGAGTGGGGAGGTCCTTCCCGGCAGCACCGTCACCCAGTGACCCATCACGAAGGGGCTCGGTGACCCGTCCCTTTGGCCAGGCTGGCATCTGCCCCAAGGTTGCTGCTTGGATTGTGCCCAAACCCAGGTGTCCGCACGCCGCTGGCATGACTGGACCCCGTGGTGCCCACTCAGGCTCACCCATGGGCTCTGGGGCACTCAGGGTCTGCCAAGGGGGATGCACCCGGAGTGGGGCAGGCAGAAGGGGTTTGTGTCACTGTGGGAGTATGTCCCCTCGTCCCCAGGACGGGATGTCCCCGGAGGGGAGACTCTGGTAGGCTCCTGTGGTCCCAGCCACAAAAGAGTCCACGCTGCTTCCTCACAGCCCCGTGGCCGGCTGAGCACCAAGGGACCCCCTCTTGGAGGCCGGGGGGGGACATCAGGGGCTGTGTCTGCTCTGCAGGAGGTGGAGGGGGGTGCATGGTGCCCTTGGGTCTCATGGCAGCATGGGCCTGCCTTGGTCAGTGGGCACGTGGGGGGACCAAGGGGGATGGCAGACGGGCATGGGGATCCCAGTCCTGCTGTGCATTTACCCTGGGCAGCTATGGCACAGCCCCACTCCTGCCTGCGTGGCCCCGGGGCAGGGACTGAGCAGGGAACGGGGTGTCCGGGGGACCAGCTGCCGGCGGGAGACAGAGCCGGTGCAGGCAGGGCTGGGCAGCCTGACTGCTTAACCCTGCCGGCCCAGACTTGGCAGCTGAGCTGCATGACCCCCTGCCCATCCCAGTTTGATTCTCCCCTTCCTGCAACCCCGATGACTGCCCCACTGCACCTTCCCTGTCCTCTGCTCCCCATCTTCCCCATGCTGGGCACCGCAAACAACGCAGCGAAGGACCCCCCCAATACCCCTGGGGTGCTGGGAGGAAGGATCAGATCCAGGACCGCTGAGCTTAGGATGCCTGTTTGCACCAACAAAAGCAACTGAGCTCTGGGGCAGTTTCTGCACCTATTTATTTTGGAGGGCAAGGCATGATGCTGGTGCAGGGCAGCGGGTCTGGCACAGCCCAGCTGGGTAGGATGGGAAGGGGCACCATGGAGCAGGGAGCAGAGCCCGGTTTCCATCAGATCTGGAGGACGCATGGCCCTGGCGTTGGCCCCTTCAGCTGCAGGGAGGCAGGACAGATGGACGAGCAGTTAGAACAGGGGAAAGCCGATGTGATGCAGAGCCCCAAGGCGGGAGAGGGGGCTCCCTGGGGGGCTGGGAGTCCCTGCTTAGCCCAGGCCATGCCAGGAGGGAGACTTGGCTTCCCCCGGCCATGCTCACCTGATGGCCTTGGTGCACTGATCTGCTGAAAAGCAAAAAAGAGAGGTGAGCATGCCACGGGCAGTGCCCTGAGCCCCCGCGCAGTGTCCCCATGCAAAGGGGCCGTATATGCCACCCCGTGCCCTCCTGGCACTCACCCGACTTGGGCAGGATGGCCAGCATGTCCTTGGTCAGGCCCAGGGTGGGGATGAGCTCTTTGAACTTCTGCAGGAGCTGCGGGCTCACATCCTGCTCCCTCGCTGCAGGCAGACACCCAAAGTGGGGGGCTGGTGAGTGCAGGGGGATGTGGCAGTGAGCCCCACACCAGGGGTCCAGCTCCCGCGGGGCAGCAATGGGACCCCAGGGAAGGGTGAAGGCAAAGCCATGGCAGGGCAGGGTGGACACTGGGCACCCCACAGCTGCCCTGGGCTGGCAGCAAATGGGCACAAGCCCCTTGGGATGAGCGACCTACCTGCCTGGAGTGGTATGGGGCAGCTGGTGGGGCTGGGGCTCTGCAGCTGGATTGGCAAACTGCCGGGGGGCTTTGGTTCAAACCGTAATCAACCGGGGCTATTTTTGGTGCAGGGTTTCATTCACCCCTAAATGAATTCCCTGGGTGCCAGCACATTGGGTGCTGATGTTGGTGGCCCTGGGCGGTGGTGGGGAGCCCAGCCCCTGCCCCCCGTCAGTGCCTGTATCCTTCCCCGAGGGAGCCGTGGGTACCCGTCCCCGCTCCCGGCACCCACTGAGGAGCTGCAGCACGGCGCTGGCCTCCTGCCCGTTCTGCTGGAACTCGTGCACGATGGCATGGTGGCTGCAGTCCGTCTCCATCACACACAGATCCCTCTTCTCTTGTGCTGCTAAAGGACCCCAGATGGTGCCTGGTCAGGCAACACGGCACAGCCCGAGCATCTCTGTGGCCCCCGCCAGGGCTCACGGCTCAGACCCCAAGCCCCAAATTTGCCTGAGGGGGGTATGAGAAGGGAACCCCTGTGTGATCTGGCAGAGCCGTGTGCCCATGCACAGCACGACCTCTTGCTGAGCAATGAAGGCAGAGGGGCCAAACCCACCTCCCGTTGCTCTGCGGACACAGCAGACTGGTGATGCCCACCCTCCATTTCAGAGTGTCCATGGCTCTGACCCCCCCCTGCCCACACATACCCATGTAGTGCCCTGCCTGCCCCCTTCGTTGGAAGACCAGCTCAAACTTTTGACATCTGTCCAGCCTGAAAGGGAAAATGGAAACAGCAAATGTAGTTGGATGCCACGTTGGAGGACAGCGGGGTGGGGGGCAGGGGGAAGCCCAGCCTGCCCAGAGGATGTGCCAGGGCGTAGGCAGGACCGGGTGCCATGGGGCAGTGGGTCTGTGGGGAGGAAGGGAGTCCCCTGGCCCAAGTGGGACACGGTGAGCAGGACGGGCACTCACAGGGGCCAGACAAGCTTCATAGCCAGGTCCCCCTCTGGTGTGAAGCTGATGGCGGTGATGGATGACTTCATCCCATCCTTCATCTTCAGGAACATGGAGCAGTTGGAAACGACGGCTGCGACATGCCACGTCCCTGCAAACTGCAGCAGGACATCACCGGTGGGGTTTGGGAAAGCCAGGGAGGCCTGCCATCCACCACGGGGGACCTGTCAGCGCATTGTAAGAACCTGCCAGCCTGCGGAGGGGGAGCTGCC